CTGTGCTGTGCTGTGCTGTGCTGTGCTGTGGGACAGGCTTCAAGGGAAAATCTGCAGGCAGTCCTGTTGTTAGCGTGCCCCTCGCTCAGTGACAAGGGTTTCCCAGGGTTGTCATGCTGCCCTGCACGCTGTGTCATGGTACAGGCACCAGCTATGGGCTTCTGCTGCAAAATATTATAATTTAATTGGCAAAGAGGGCCAGTATCGGGATTCCCTTGCCAAAAACTGGGGAGAGGATGCTGGAGTGTCAAAAGCCTCCCTGTAGTATATGTTGCACTCGAGCATGGAAATGGGAGCAAAGGGAGGCACTGGTAGAAACTCGCTGCAGAGTTTTGCCTGGTGGTCTGGAGCTATGACAAAAATACTTTGGATATTTTTCAAGATACAGTCTTTTTTTTCTGTTTTTATTTCCTTCTTAGTTACTGTTTTTTTTTTTTTTTACTTGTCTAGATGTTTCAAGGGGAAATAAGCTTAAACTAATGCTTCAGAAACGTGAAGGTACGTAAAGTCCCTAACATTCTGTGATTCTGTGTAAAGAGACAGCCAAGTGCTTTCCCTTATATTTCCTTGGAGTCGGTTGCCATCAGTCAAAGCTGCCAATATGTTGTCACTCTGTTACCAGCTCAAGGAGGGCAGTCAGAGGAGCAGTGTACAAGCACCCCATTCAAAGCTGGTAGTGCAGAGCTGCTCTCAGTGCCCACCATACCCAAACCTCCTTGCACAGACGGTTCCAGCCCCGTGGAGCCTGTGCCTGCGTCTCTGTTTGGGACTTGGTATTGGCAAGGCTGGAGGCTCTGCTTATCACAACCCCCTCCAAAAACCAGGGTTCCCAACCTCAGGCAGTACACCTGTGTTTTGTTCCGTGCAGCACATAGCACCTACCTTTTCCAGTGTGTGCATCGCAGACATGGCATTTATCTGGTTTATTCTGGGAAGTCACAAGCTTTTACAAGTAATTATAACACATGGAAATACTGCTGGCTGAGGTGCAGAGGAGAAAATGTGCAAACCAGGCTTGCTCGCAACGCCTTGACTTGTTCCCTTTGTCCTCTTGGCCCCACGTGTGCTTCCTTCTTGGAAGACTGCTCTCCCTATGGGAGAGATGATGGCTGAGGGCCCAGCAGGCAGATGCACCAAATGGCTTGCTGGTTGGGGGAAGGTGATGGAAACGGAGCTGGCCGGGGACAAGCAGCACTACAGCAGATGGGGGGCAGGCTGGAACACCCCAGAAGTTTTGGTTGCTTCCCCTCAGCCTGCTCTGTGGCTGAGGCAAAGAATTTACAGCCCCCACAGAGGGGACTCCCACTTTCTGCCAGCCTGCCTAACTTCTCACTGGGTTTTTCCTGGCATCACCCACCACCTCTTGCCAGCCCTAAAAATGTGTGCCACATCCACAGCTGTTTTCCTTGTGCGTGGGTTCCCTACCTCACCACTCTGCAGTGCTTACATGCAGATAGGGGTGACCACCCTCCCTGCACCCCAGCTGTGGTCAGTGTGTTTGTTCAGGTGCCCTGGTGAGAGGGACCACTCGGGGAGGCTTCTTGAGCGTGCAGGCAATGTAGCCTAGACCAGGAAGAACTGCAAAGCCTTGGATTGATGACAGAGGGAATGTGCAGCCCCTTCATTCCAGCCTCACTCCCCGTTTCCAGTTGGGGACTAAAGCAGGCGGGGTAAGTGCACAGAACTGGTTCCCTCTGGCAGTGTCCCTTGTGTGGGGCTCATTCACAGGACACTGGTTCAGCCGTCCCACTTCCCAGTAATCACACCAAGCTCGAGTGTACGGGGAGTTATCGCTTTCCAGCTCATCGCCACAGGGCAGCCTGCTGTTCCCCACTCTTCCTGTGACAACTCAGCTATCATTTTTACCTCTTGAATCTCCTTCCCACTGCAGTCCTTTGCCTCCCCCAGTGAGTCTGCCCAGATCCTGTTCCAATCGTTTTCATGTGCCTGACCCAACTTCCCCTTCTGCCCTAGCCTTTTCCCACGCATCCTCCGAAAATCCCCATCCACTCTCATGTTCTTGGTCCCTCCCTCATTTCAATGAACCCTCTGAAGCCAAGGCATTCCTCCTACTTCTACGCACGCTTCTTGTTTCACAGGAAAACCAAACACATCATACCATGTTTTATCATTTCTGTGCATGGCAGGGGGCTTGCCAGTCCTCACAGCTGTACCTCTCCGAGGCACATAAATTCCTCTAGCAGCCACAGCAAACTGCCTGCCCCTTAGCCCTGGGGCAAGCCAAATGGCACAGCTGGGCCTGGCAGGTCGCCGGCTTTCCTCTGCATCCACCAACCTGTGTACTATGAAAACCACATCAGCTTTTATTTTCAGGCATACAGGGCATTTAGTAGCACTCATTATTTAAAAGCTGTGTTTTTACACAACAGATTCAAATATCTATCTTTTTATGTGTGCTTCCCTTCACCCTAGTAAGTTAGCAGTGTTTCTGCAGCTTCTTCAGGCGTTTTAACTGCACCTCTCATCTTCATTCCCATTTCTGCAGCAGGAGCACGCAGAGGCCAGTCTCCTGTTCTCTCCTCAAAGCACAAGTACAGTGTGTTTATTCTCTTTCAGTTTGGTTTTATTTATTTAATTCCTTACTTAGCTTATGTCTTTAAGTTCAGAACAGCTTTTATAAAATCCAAGAGAATGAGGGTAACTGAGAAATCCTATTACATCAACAGTTCCTGAGTTTATTACCATTACTGCTGCGGCAGGCATCGTGCTGCCAAGCACAAAGGTAACGGCGTGATGCGAGAAGCATTTTTCAGTGCAGTACCCTTCAGGCTGACTAAAAATTTCCTGGTATGCCTTTTGGGGGGGAATTAATTTCAGCCCCTGTTGCCGCAAAGCCCGAGGTGTTAGTGAAAGAAACAGTGGCCAAGGAGTTCCTAAGCAGCCTGAGACGCCAGAGGCGCCAGCTCTGGGACCGAAGCCAGCCCGACGTCCAGCAGTGGTACCAGCAGTTCCTCTACCTGGGGTTCGACGAGGCGGTGAGTGTAAGGCTTTCTAGAGCTGGTAGAGCTTCAGCCTGAGTGGCTGAGAGCAGGGATCCACAGCCATGGGGGCACCCAGGGAGAAGCTGCCCTGTTTCTCTTCACAGACACTGTGATTTCTTTTTTGAAGTAGCAAATATTGCACAGAAATATAAGCCCCGTGTTTGTTAGAGATTTCTATGTTATTTTGTTAATGGAGAAAAATGACATCAAAATCTTGTATGGGGATCTTGCCTGCTACCCAACTTAAGCTTAATAAATTGCAGCCAGCCAAAGTTTGCTGTGAGAAATAGGCAGCCAGCCCCAAAGCAATCAATTGTATTTCAGGATATTAATTTGGCAGCCTCCAGCTAATCAATTTGCTTTTTAGCATGCTGAGAAATCCACACCAAGCTGGCCATGATTGGCATTCCTCAATGACATCACACTAACATTACATATCTAATGCATGCGTGTGCCTCTTGTGGTGCAGGAGCTCCTGACCATTGAGAGCGCCAGCAGCTGTGTCTCGACCCTAAATGTGAAAGGAAAACCATTTGGTAGCATGCAGCCAACCTCCCTTCAAATGAGAAGGATACTTTTTTAAAAAAATAGTTAATTTGTAAAAACACTGGAGTGGAATCAGGAGTTCCCAGCTCTGCACAAAGCTCTACTAAATAGATGCTGAAATAGGGCGAAAAATGAGTTTAGTTGCTGTCCCACATGTAGAATAATTTCTACGTTAATAAGATGTAAAAATAGTTATAGATGTTGAATTCTTGACTTGTGTCAGCTGCATGAATGCATTTAATGAGATTGCATTGGCACAGGCAAGCTGGAGTACATTTTGGACCTTCATGCTGTTGGATTGCTTAGAAGATGAATGCACTCATTTTCAAAGCTGGAACGATTAAAAAAATAATCCTTTGCTTGGACTGAAAGAATGAGGGATACATTTTTCTGTTGCCCCTGGACATTATGCAGATAAAAATGACTTTGTAACAGCATGGCTATATCCCACTCCCTCCTCCCAATAGCAATAGGAGAAATAGTAAAATTGGCTTTATGCATCAGAAACCGAAGACTGGGGGCAAATACTAGGAGGTAATAAGGACAAACCATGCAGATAAGATTAATTCTCCTCTGAGTTCCTGTGTGCACTTCAAAAACTGAAATGAGGCCTGTTGTAGGACACAATGAATCCACTTAGTAGGTTTTCTTGAGTATTAAGACACAGTTTTAACAATGAAATAACTGTTTGTTCCAGCAAAGGACTTGGGCCATACTTACCCATTGTGTATTTTGCAAAACTTTTTTTTCCAAATCTCATCCAAAAATATTTCCAAAGAGTCATTCAGATGGAAAGGCTTTGACTTGGCAAGTATTTGATATCCTTGCACACTGTTTTTCTTCTACTGTTATGAGCAGAATTGAACTGCTTACTGCATTTCCGTAGCTAGAGGGCTGTGCTGTACGTTCATTTTTACCCATGCAAAATGGGAATGAAAGATCACAGGCATAAAGCAAAAGCCTATTGCACCCACTTCGACTCAGGGACATCAGGGCAGTGGAGAACCAAACCTTTAGATTTTTCAGTACAAAACGTTGAAATGTTTTTCATAGTCCATCACTGAAAAGGTAATACAGCTATTAAAGGTGTTCAGAGCATGTTTCAGTTGCAGGCAGTCTCAGTTTAAGCACTTTACAGTGGGCAGAGGGTGTGGGAGTGGGTCCCAGGTGGAGCTGGGCAGGACAATTCCTGCATTCAGAGCCCTGATAGTCCCATAGAGAAGGTAGGTACAGGTCACAAAACCCCTTAGACCTAAAGATTTCATTTTGACAAGTAAGCAAAGGATCTGAATTTCTGAGAGAGACAAAAGGTACCTCTTGCACCAGTGCTGTTTCACTCTCTTTGTTGTAAAGGTTCAGGCTTGGAAAGTGAGTATTTTCTTTTTTTGGCAGAAATTTGAAGATGACATCTCCTACTGGACAAGCTTAGGGCGTGCTCGTAATGAATACTACGGTGGGTACTACCAGCACCACTATGATGAAGATTCACCAATTGGTCCACAAAATCCACACACCTTCAGGCATGGAGCAGGTGTCAACTATGATGATTACTAATGTCATTTATCCTACTATAGCTGGTGCCTGTAGGGTTGCACTGGGTGAGGCTGAGTCCTCCCTCAGTCAGGGGGGCTTTCCTGCTATTCATGTAAAACAGCAAGAGTAAAGGAACGGCCAGACTTTGAAGAAAGCAACATGACTTTTTTAAGTATTGTTTCTTAGTAGTACACTATATATAAAGTGTTATAGAAATAAAGCTTTTTTGATAAAATAAACAGTTTGCCATTATTTAGTAGAGTTTGTAACAGCAAGTTTCATTCCAGTTGTATTACTGTAGATTCCTTTTTAACGGGCTTTTTTATCTGCTTTCCTACAATCAATTGCAAAATTACATTATATCATCTAGTTTGGCATATAGAATACATAATATAAGCCAGTACGTTTCAGATGTGCCTGCTCATTCAGAGTTGTCAACAACTACCTCCAGTTTTTCTTGGGGAAAAAGAAAAAAAGCATTTCTCTCAATTGAAGTGCTGCCTAGTTGCCTCCTCTGCTATTTCCATACCTGCTGTGCACAGCTCTCCAAACTGGTGTGATACGGCACTTCCACAGTTCCTGCTGGGGCAAGGACACAGATGTTCACAAAAGCTAAATTCGGTGTAGAGGAGCTCGCCTACTTGCAAAGCCTGGGAAAGGAAAGGATTCTCCAGGGAAAGGGCTCAAAGCAGGAACCTGCCTTCAGAAGTAATTGTTGAGAGGCAGAGCATCTAACCTGAGCAGCCCCAGCCCTCCCAGGCACGATAACCCAAAGGTTATCTCTGATGAATGCTCCCCTTTGTGTCCTTTCCACTTGGCTGCAAGCTTTCAGTCTAGCTCGAAATAGGGAATAAAATACCAAAATAAGCTATTTAAAATGAAGTTTGTAACAGATAGCATCCAACACAGTCCCCAGACATAATTTCCTACCGTGAAGTTGCCTCTCTCCCCAGTTCAGACTGGCATCTATACACATGAGGCTGAGCATGAAAATATATCAGAGCCCAGGCATTTGCTAATGAAGCAGAGTGGATTAAAGGGGAGTTGGTTGGTGGGGTTGTGTGTTAAAAACCCAGAAATACGACCAGCTTTTCTACTATAGCAACATCAGCTACGTTGCTGCTTCTCTCTTGTTACTGTAGAGGAAGTCCTCATGCAGACCTAAGGCTGGGAAGAAGATTTCAGCTGTCCGGGGCTTCCAGAGGAGCTTGTTGGGGGAAGGCACTGCTGAAGCTTGATAAGCATAGAGGACTGGGAAGGGGTAGGTGAGGAAGGCTTGTTGGCTCTGACTTCAGGAGCTGAAGAAACAGGATAAAGAGAGATGAAAAGTGTACAGCAAACCATAGCAGTCAGAGAAGACAGCATGGATGCTTCAGCTGTCTGTTGTCTAAAGCTTACAAGAAACTACCACAGCATGGATCATGGTAACATCATTCTTTACACTTCACTCACTTCTTTCTTAGTGTATTTCCTAATCTTTCACTTACAACGTGTCACGTTGCCTGAGGGACTGGTGTCTAGGAAAGGCAGCCCAGCACTATCCGGCTCCCTGCAGGAACGCTTCCAGGGAGACAGCTCTCGGCCAAGGGAGCCAAAGAGAACAAACACGTTAGGCACTTCTCTGCACGCACAGATATGCGCTAGCCTAACATGCTCCAAAAAGTCAGCTTTCCCCTCGGTTTTGGAGGGCTGTCTCTTAGCAGAATCCTTGCCAGTTTAATCAGTTGAAACTGGTGGGTTTCCTTGGTAGAAGAAGACCCTTTATTCCAAATATGGAATAATCATATTCTGAGTCAAGTACAAACTCTTTTGCACAATTGGAAAACACCTATTCCTAGAAGAATTCTTAAATTTTTTGTCCTATCAAAAAAGTGCACAAATTTGGCAATGTTTGAACCGTGCTGATAATTTCCATCATTTCCTAGAATTTACAACAACTGGGAATTCAGACCTGCTGAATAAGGAAGAATTTAAAAAGTACTGTAAATAAACACCATCCCTCCCCAGGCTTTTGTAAGCTGTGTCCATTCCTGCAGGCTGACTCAGTCCAGCAGCTTTCTGTGCCTTGCAGGCTCACCACCAAGTCTACAATCTCTCTCTTCTGGATTCTCTAAGAGGAAAATAAAAAATAAAAAATCTTTTCCATTATGTTGTGTTGCGTGCTGAAGTGTCCTACCACATACTGGGGTCTGGCTGAGACAGAGTTAACTTTCTTCAGAACAACAGGTATGATGCCATGTTTTAGATTTGTGACTAAACCAGTGTTGATAACACACCAATGTCTTTGCTGTTGTTGAACAGTGCTTGCACAGCATCACTGAGGGTGGTGAAATACTGGCACGGGTTGCCCAGAGAGGTGGTAGAAGCCCCGTCCCCATAAAGATTCAAGGCCAGGATGGACGGGAGTCTGAGCAACCTGATCTAGTTGAAGATGTCCCTGCTCACTGCAGGGGGGTTGGACTAGATGACCTTTAAAGGTCCCTTCCAACCCAAACCATTCCATGATTCTAAGACTGCTTGTTTCCTGCAGCAGGTAGGCTAGGGGTGGGTGAGAGGTTGGGAGGGGACACAGGTGGGACAGCTGACCCAAATTGACCAATTCCGTACCATATAATGACTTGCTCAACACTAAAAGCTGGGAAGAAGAACAAGGGGGTGGGAATTTTGTCTTCCAAGGTAGCCACTGCTCAGAGACTGGCTGGGCAGTACTCTTGCTTAGGCGAGATGGTGAGTGGCTTTTGCATTAATTGGATTTTTTTTTCCTTCTTTCCTTCACTTGTTAAACTGCTCTTATCTCAACCCTCAAGTCTGCTCACTTCTGCTTTTCTTATTCCCTCTCCTGTCTGGTTGAGGCAGGGGGAGTGAATGGCTGTGCGGGTACATAGCTGCTGGCTGGGGACAACCCACCACATGGCAATAGCCCTTCTTGTAGAGGGGTGCACCTGCAGCAGTTGCAATGATGCAAAAAATACATGCAATAAGCTACAAAGAAATCAAGCAAGTATGAGCCATCACAGGTTTGAGCAAAAGGAGGAAGACTATTTTTAAAAAAAAAGAAGTTTTGTCAGATATGCATGGAGTGCTTCAAAGTTAACTACATTAGCAAAGTTAATTTCCTTTGAGTATTTCTGTCTCAAAACACAGACAAAAACGGTGTACCCCTTCCCAGCCTTTCCATTCTGCTGTGCAGACAGCACTGAGCTCTGCACATCATCATCATCCCCAGCCACCCCAGCACTGACATCATATAACCTCTCCACCAAGACAGAAGAGCAGCCATTGTTCATTGTGGCTCCCTACAGAACAGGAACAGCTTGGCCATGGTCCAGCACTTCACATTTCAAGACCTGATGCTGCCACATCCCCCACTTTGCGGGTGCCGGCCAAGCAAGTCCGTCAGTCGGACTGAGGGCAGTCCTGCCTTCTTTGCTGCTAACACCCATCTGTCTGTCAAAGCTCAGAAGTGCTATTGCCATGCCCCACCAGTCACTCTCATATACTCCCCAAACTCCTGACAGAGATCTTTTGCTCCAAATCCAGCATCTTAATCAGTAGCTTTAAACATGTATTTTCTTTGTTTTTGAGGGCTTAATTCCCCCTCAGTTCCTACTTGTAACACAAGCACATTGGGGATGGGCGATTGGGCACTTTTATCCCAGGACCGTTTCCCAGGTGTAAGATGCAGGTGTCCTTCCTCAAAACAGCTTTCTCTGCAACGGGGTGGGCAGAGCCCAGATTGTTGTGCTTGGCTTTGATTGCTTAAGGCCACCCCACAGTTCTCTGTGGCTTCATGTTTTGGACCTTCCAGCTGCTTCAGCCATGGCATGGACCAAGGCATGCTGAAGAGCATGTCAGAAACTAGGGAAAACAGCAAGAGTGAACCAGCTGTTGCTTGTTCTGGGCTGTAAATGGCAACAAAACAAGGTGGACAAAAAGTTGTTGGCACATTTGCTATTATGGAACAGGCAAGTAAGAGAAGGAAAGGTACTGGAAAAAAAAAATAGAACCAGAATCTGTTTTTTGCAAGAAATACAAATTATTTCAGCAAAACCTTCCTGTTGATACAGTAACCCCTGATTCAGCAACCTCCTGCCACCCAAAAGGAGCCCTGCTTTTCTCTAGAGCTAGTGCTGCTCCTCCTGGTAGCTCTGAGGAGCCGGAGCCACAAATAAGGCATTTCCTTCTCCTGACACTTGTGATCCAAGCACCGGGAGATGTTCACAACAGAGCAACTATGGATTTGTGGTGGCTCCGTTCCCACTGACTTCAGGGAGGGGATGTATGGATGTTAGGGCTGGCAATGCTGACTACACTCTTCTCTTGCTATTAACAAAGCATATTTTTTGTGTGGACAGGTCTTCCCTGATCAGCCTCTAAAAACCTTCAAGGACTTCTTGGCCTCAAGTAGCATTAAACTCAATACTAATAAGGCTGGGGACTAGCTCAATCCATCACACTAATCAAAGCCCCATTTTGCCCTCTGTAGCCTGTTCTCTAAGGCTAACAAATTTATGCAACTGTTTGCATCTTCCCTCTCCTCCCTTGCCTCTTTTTCTCAACTCTGAAACTCAATTCCAACCCTATATGACAAAAGTGGAAGTTTTTTTCAAATATATTACTTTTTTAAAAATTGAAAAAACAGATGACTGAGAGACATTCATAAATGCCTAGAGGGTGGTGAGCTCACTGGCTACTAAACCCACCAGAGTCTATATAGGTTAAGAGAAGCTGTTATCACACAAGACACAGGAAGACTGTCAGATCATGATTTCCCCACAGAGCAAAAAAAATCTAACCTAAAGATAGACATGAGGCTTCTCTAGACTATACAATAATGGAACTACTTAAATTAAATTAGGTCTGCAAGCCCCACTGTAGCTTGCTTGTAGCATGCCTGTAGACCAGCAATGTGGTTTACAAAGCTTCTGAGCAGTGTATGTATAGAAATAAAACTAAAGTACAAAATGTTTTTAAAAAATAAACCAAAACCCAACAAACCTGACCATGGATCTCACACTATGATAACTTCCAGCAACAAGAGTGGTTCTCCTTGTGAGGTTCAAGGAATCCAAAGCAATGGATGCCTTGCACACCTCTCCTTCTAGAAGGCTGATCTCACTGGCCAGCACCAGGCTGACCAGCTCACCACAGGCCTTTGCTACATTGCACATTCCCTACCTAGAGAGAAGGACTTGCATCTAACATGGGCTGAGCTGCCCGTTCATGCAGATCACTGCGACTAAATAGGCACCTCAAGGCTGGTCATGTTAGTTCTTACCTTGCCTGCCTGACCAGATGATAGCCAAAAATCCCAGTTCCCAATTTTCCTGAAAAAAAAAAAAAAAAAAAAAAAATAACGCATTGTGTTGTGTTCAAGCATGGAAATGAGAAGACACCTTGGCTTCCTTTACTCCCAAGTCTTATGTTTCCAAGCTTTCAGTGCTGCATTCCACCCCCCTCCACCAAAGTGGCTTTGCTGGGGAGGCAGCAGCTGTTTCTTACCTGTGGTTCCCTGCAAAATTGCTGCCTCTTTCTCTTACCGAGATATGTAACCCAGATGGGAGCAGAGAGCACCAACATGCAAACCCTCATCTGCCTTGTTGAAGACTCACTTCAGACCAGATCAAGCCTGAAATTACCCCAGACTTTCAAGTCTCAAGCACCAGCAAAGTCTCTTTTAACACCCGGACTGCCTTTCAAATCAGCTACAAGGCCAGTCACTGCCTTCAAAACACAAAAGGCAACAGCTGCCTCAGCTGCTGTTTCTGGAAGACACTATTTAGAAAGAATAGAGGCACCTCTGAAACAAAAGCTAGAAACGGCACAAGGAAAGCAGCAAATCAACACAGTCAGTCACTCGGGGCCAGTGGGAGGCACGGCACATACCCACTGATGGGCTGTACTGGTACCAGCCATTTGCCCTCTTTTCGATCTGGTTGTTTTATGAAGGAGGTCAGGCTGTGAAGTAACCTAGAAAGCTTTTAAATTCACATCTGTAGCATCCAAACGTTCAAACTTCCTGAGGGAATTTTTTTTTTTTGGAAACTGCACATTTTGTGTAGTCTCCAGAAATGTGCCTGTTCCAGTATAGTGTACGTATTTTGCACTGAAGTAACTGGATTAAATGAAAAACAGCCCTGAAAGAAACAGCTGGCACCCACAGCTCCCATTTATTCTCAAGGGCTGCTCCAAATGCTGGACCAGGGTTGCACCCTTGCGCACCTCCTCATCATAGATACTTTGGCATCCAATGGCACAATTTGCATGAGGAGTAAAATATAAGGAGAAAGAACACCTACCCCCAAATATAATCTAGAGCTCAAGGGTTAAAAACATCACGCTGGGAGCTGATTAACAGTTCTCATCACAGAATTATTAAAGCAGTGGGCACTTTCACATACATCCAGTTGTGGTTTTGAGTGCAGAGAGAGGCTGTGCTTTGTGAGTGTATCAGTAATGACAGGTTGCAGGCACATGTGGAGCACACACACCACAGTGTACTTCTCAGGCAACCTAATATAGAATAAATGCCCAGATCACGTACCTAGAAAAAGGCTTCAAACAAAAAGCAGATCTCAAGCTGCTCAGCTGTGAAGAGATGGAGGCAATGTGTAATACCTAAATTCTACCTTTGAGTCCAAGCAGGAAAATGCTCCCTGGCTCCCCATCTTAGTTGCATGGCAGATCTGGACGTGAGCAGGGAAGAAACCATTTTGTCTTAAAAGGATCACTGCAGATCCAGTCCAGCCAGGGCACACAAGCAACCACAGCAACCCCATCACTGCTGGAGTCCTGGGGAACTTCACCAGACAGACTGGTTGGGACTGCAGGCCTGCAAGCACTGCGGGGCTCTGGCGGACAGCATGCTCGGACACGGGTGTCTAAATACCACCCTGCTCCCAGAGCCTTCCCTGGGCCCAGGCATCAAGTCATCACTACAGATAACTCCCACTTTGTCCATCAACCTAAAGATAGTTGAAAACTAATAAAACATCAAGCTTTAACAAGATAAAGTCAAGTCACTTTGCTTGATGAGATTTAGGATTTTCAATTTTGAGTGGCACTAAGCCAAAATACCTTTTAAAAACTCTGCCAATCTCCTCTCCTAGGTACATAGTCTTAGGTATCAAAAATAAAAGGGAACTATTAAAAATAAGGGGAATTGGACTTTAATTGTTTTGGTGTTTTGTTTTTTTTGGGTTTTTTTTTGTTAAGATGACAGGCATAGTTATCAAAGTTGAAAGCATTTACTGGCAGTTCAGTTAGGGAGGCTGAAGTTAGACTTTATGGTTTAAATTATTTTTAAAAATTATTTAAAAAAAATCTTATACTCCTGTACCACTATAAACTACCTTAATTGGAATAAATCATGATGGTTTTGGCTGATCTATTTCATCATATATCTTCCAGCCCTTCCTATATATCTATTAAGAGACAAGCAATGAAGACCAAAGTTACTAACTTTGAGCCAATTATTTACAGCCTGTTATTTTGTAATTAATATACAATAAATGCACAGATGTGTAACACCAGAGAAGTGCACATAATGAAACCATGAAACTAATAAACAGAAGTTTCAATATTTTATTAAAATAGCATATTCAACCACTGTAACCAATAATACATTAACTTTATTCCCAGAGTACGCACAACACAGTAGTGATTCAAAATATCCTTATCCATGGTAATCAATGAAAATATCTCAAATTCAAGTGTATAACTAAAACTAAACCTTTGAAAAAATCTCTCCTTTAAAGAATACATAAAGCTCTCATACAGAATTCTTTTAAACTCCTCTATACTTAGATGTCAGTTTCTCTCACCTGACAATACCACTAGCTTTTTTCTTATGCATAGTAGAACATCTCATATTTTATAGTACCCATTTTATAAATAAATTGGCATTTTCCATCCCATTTGTGTTTATCTTCAGCTTCACAAAGAAACCAGTAAATAAAACTGTCAAGGACAGTCACAACAAAATGATCTCACAGCAAGATATAAAACTTGAAGATACTAAAAGATGCTTCTACTCTATTTTACATAAAAAGACAGATTTAAAAAGTGCAAGGCAAGATTTGCAGGGGAAGGGGAATATTTTTTTGTCATTTTTAGGCACATCCACTTTAAAGCAAGCTTCAGAATGAAATTCCAGTTTGTTCTTCATGATACCTTTTTTTAAAAGTCTCTCTCTCTCTCAAAAAAAAAAAAAAAAAAAAAAGAAGAAAAAAAATTACATCCGTCAAATGTCAAGCAGGGAATTTCCTGTCCAAGTAACAGTCTTCAGTTATGTCTTGTTCTTCCTTTTTTCATCCTTGCAGGTTTTGGTTTGGGAATATACTGATTGTTCGCCTGATACTCAAGTTCTTTACGGAAGTAATGAATTGCTTTATTCAAACCTTCTTCCAGTGGGACCTGTTCCCAAAAGCGAGGAGAGAATCATATCACTCTAAGTTCACATTAGCTCTTCTCACAACAGTATCTTTTTTATTACAGCTATCAAAAGACTGCAAGAAGTCTAATCCTTAGCCAGTATAAGTATTAACAGCACCACATACTGGTTACATCTCTGCACTGCTAATGCATGTCAGCTTTTAAACAACAGCAGATATATTTTCTGACGTAGTAAGTAAAAAAACCCGACATTTAAATCTCATCAGATGGTCATGACCAGTCTGTTTCGTGTCAAAACAGACTTACACAATTCTACTTCCAATTCCTAATATTTTGGAAAAGATGAGCACACAGAAATTTAAGACCCTTCTGTTCTTAATGATTAAAGACCCTCTTCTGTAGAATCTCACAAAACGGTATTTACACCACAGAAAGTTATAAGGGTGGTGGGTTTGGGGTTTTTTTAGTTCTTATTTCTTCAGTGTTCCACTGATATACAGAAAAAGGGATACAAATTATCATCCAGTATCTCATTTGATATTCTTAAATTCTATAAAAATAACTGTAATTCTTCTTATTCTATGCCTGTATTTAAACCATGATATGTAGCAGGAACAACAGAAATACTACCCACTTTTCTAAGGAGCCACAAGCTCTGACATGCTTGCTGATACCATCATCAATACAGGAGGATAAAGTATCAGCGCAAAAACCACTTGCCTTGAGGTACCAACACTGTTCTGCTACTTCAGAGTTAAGTTTTGGTGCAGACTGTGCCAAACACAGAACATCAGAAGTATAAAAGTTAACTGTTTTAAACCTTCTGTGATTGTAACCCTTGCCATCGTCCTTCTGCTTTCAGGCACAGCTTAGCAATATGCAGTGCCTCTGTCAATTCTTTTGGAAGGATTTGGAACTACCTTTTTTTATTAATAGGCTTACATTTACTAGATAGGGTCACATGCTTCCTGGAAAGATTTCTGTCTGCAAATCTAAAAAAGCCTACAAACCACTGTGCTAGCTAGAATGGGGAGCTGGCTAAGAAAGTCACACCCTTTCTGGGGAGTAAGTAGACCTCACCTCCCCAAACTAATCAGCTCTTATCATCAGCTATGCCTGGTTATACACGTGATCAGTTAACTTCACCAAAAAGGTTGAGAAAAGAAAAAACAGCAACCATTTCTTGCATATTAGCTCTGCAGAACAACCACAACCTCGACATCACCTCAGATAGCTGGTAACTAAGCTTTAGAGGTGGACAAACATTATTGTGGGTGGTGAGATGTTAGACTAACTCTGAGCACATTTTGAGCTTATCTACACACAGAATAAACTCTGAACATCTCTATGTATAATACTTGTAGTCCAAAGTAATGGTTGCTTATTTTGGTGTACTTGAGTCCACCACAATAAATAAGGTTTTTTATTTTTTGAAAGTGTCATCTCTCTCTGGCTAGCTCTCTGGGGGTTTTTTGTTTGGTTGGTTTTGGTTTGGTTTTTTTCCTACTTAAGTCTATAACAAATGCTAATACTACTATGCTCTTCTGCATGGCACAGGCCATAGAGCCTTACCCAGCAGTTATTGAATCATGAGCTAGGGCAACAAATGAGCCACAGCCTTTTAAACAGCTGTCCTGGAGACTTGGGTTAAGCAGATACTCTGATAACTGAAGCACCCAGGGAAGTTGTGGATGCCACCTCCCTGGAAGTGTTTAAGGCCAGGCTGGATGAGGCTTTGAGCAACCTGGTCTAGTGGAAGGTGTCCCTGCTGATGGCAGGGGGGTTGGAACTAGATGATCTTTAATGTCCCTTCCAACCCAAACCATTCTATGATTCTATGTGGTCCTCCCCCACCGCCCTCTGCCTCCCTGTTTTTGCACACAACAGTAACACAGCTGTACGTACCACAGGTTCCCAGCCAAGCAGTAACTTGGCTTTTCTGATGTCAGGTTTTCGTTTCTGAGGGTCATCCTGAGCTTCTGAGAGAAACTGGATTTCACTCCCACTGCCTATTAAACAAGAGAACGGCATTATCATTTTCAATTCACAACACTTTGCATTTACATCATTCCTGCCTATTGGAGCATCAAGTCTTTCTGCAGCTTTCTGCTTCATAATTTTACCAATGCAATGCTTTCCACAGACACAGGTACACTGCACGCAACAGCTGGCTGAACCAGCTGTCCCACAGCAACACGGACTCACAAAGCATTTCACAAAGCTTTCAGCACGGACTCACAACAAGGAAGTTACACTTGACCAGTCAAATAATCTTCTCCAATGAAACGACTGCCCTAGCAACCGAGGGCAAAGCAGTGGGTGTCATCTACCCTGACTTCACTGGGGCTTTTGTCACTGTCTCCTATAACATCATTATTGAGGGCAGGATGAACAGACGGTGAGCTGGATTGAAAACTGGCCACGTGGCCAAGCCCAGAGGGTGGTGATCCAGTTGGAAGCTGGTAACCAGTGGTGTACCCCAGGGGTCAATACTGGGTCAATACTGAGTTGCTGATACACCAGAGGGCTGTGCTGCCACCCAGAGGGACCTTGAGAAAATAGGTTGGAGAAAACGGCTGACGGGAACCTCATGAGGTTCAACAAAGAGAAGTGCAAAGCCCTGCACTTGGGGAGGAACAACCCCAAGGTACCACTACGTGCTGTGGGCCAACCAGCTGGAAAGGATCTGGGGGTCCTGGTGGACACCAAGTTGAATATGAGCCAGCAAAGTGTTCTTGCCACAAGGAAAGCAAATGCTATCCCAGGCTGCAGCAGAACTGCTGCCAGCAGGTCAAGGGAGATGATCTTCCCCACCTACTCAGCACTGGTGAGGCCACACCTGGAGTGCTGGATCTAGTTCTGGGCTCCCCAATACAAGAGAGACATGGACATACTGGAGAGAGTACACTGAATGGCTACCAAGATGATGAAAGGACTGGAGCATCTCTCCTGTGAGGAGAAGCTGAGAATGCTGGGACTGTTCAGCCTGGAGAAGAAAAGACTGAGGGCAATTTTATCCATGTGTAGAAATACTTGATGAGGAGAGTAAAGAGGGAGGGAGGCTCTTTTCAGTGGTGCCCAATGACAGGACCAGAGGCAGTGGGCACAAACTGAAACACAGGAGGTTCTCTCTGAACAGCAGGAAATGCTGTTTTACTGTGAGGGTGATCGAGCACTGGCACAGGTTGCCCAGTGAGGTTGTGGAGTCCTTGGAGATACTCAAAAGCTGTCTGGACGTGGTCCTGGGCCACTGCCAGCTGTAGGTGGCCCTGCCTGAGCAGAAGGTTTGATGAAATGACCTCCAGAGACACCTGCCAACCTCAACCATGCTGTGATTCTGTTAGCACTTCTGCATTGCAAAAGGCCTTCGCTTCCTCTTTGCCCACACTGTCAGTCTGATCTAAATAGTGAACACAGTACTTGCCTTTCCTCAGGACAATACACAGAAACAGGACCACTTCTTTAACCAAATCTAGCAAAACATGCCATGTTACTGTGGGATTTTATGGATGTAGAACTAAACCGCCTCTGCAGGCGGCCTGAAACATCAGATTGTTTGTGAACAAACAGACAAATGGAGGTAACAATTATTCTATGTGCCTGACAGGTTTGGTGCTGTGATTTTCAATTTACTTCCCTGATCTGTGGATTCATAGATATTTTCCAGAGGGAATAGTCCTCTATTAGCAACATCACATGCATCAGCTTCTGTACTGTATGTTTGTATTTGCCTTTTTCAGATCCCTCAGAGCACTGCTGGAATCTACAGACTAAAAACCCTTGGTAACCGCATCAGTATGTTTCATCTCATCAGGAAGCTGCACTAGAAGAACAAGCACAGCCCTTCGCTTCCACTCTTGAGAACTTTGATTTGCTACAGGTATCAGAGCAAGAATGAAGAGGAAGCCACAGTGCTTTCCTCCCAGCCACACACAGGGGTGGTGCTGACAGCTCTTGCAAGAATCACTGGTAGATCAGTGAAAAGTAGAGAAAGACTGTCACCACAGCGTGAGGTTTTTCATGGCAGTTGAAGGAGAACAGCCTGCATAGTTGTGCAGAACCACTTTGCTGAAGTATCTGTATTTCAGCTAAGATGTTATGCAAGACAGTTTCATTCATGTGTTTTACATTTCGTTTATGTATTGTCCTTGTGCCAAAACACAGCTGAAAAATGCATAGACATTATACAAAATAATGAGTATAGATGGCACAAATACACAGAAAGAAGGTATACATTCTACTGCTCATGCAGTGTTTTACGTACAATTGAGAGGATTTGGATTATCTTATTAATATTTCATTACATGATCAGGATACAATTAAATGCCTTTGATAAAGTTATTAAGAAATCCAAAGACCAATTAAATTATCTATATATTACACACACTAATCAAGTAATAATCATCTAATGACAATAAGTACTTCATAAGCTTCACTAAGAACTACTTATCCTACTCACCAACAAGTTTTTTAATTAACTGGGCGAATTCTAGGATAGTGTGCTCTTCTGGGTTTCCCTAGAAATAGAAGGGATACTCATTACAATAACAAACTTCTTACAATTTGCTCACTTTCTGATGTAAGATGATTCTAACAGGGTCACCTTAAACTCTGAAAAAGTTAAACATTATGCATTATTCCTACTTTTACTAAAAAAATGTAACTCTGACAAGCTCCATACTGATTAGAAAACTTCCCTCCATTACATTTGCCTTGGTAATTCAATGTATGTAGGGGGGTGCCAAAAAAAAAACAGTCTGTAAAAAATGGGCAAATGCACCTCACTCACAGTGAAGTCATATGCCACTCAGCAGCCCACACAACCACATCATCAGTTTGAAATCTGGATTCAAGGACTTCACTGAGTTGAGGACAGATGATATAAAGAAGTATGCTAAATTCTCTGTTCACCCAAAGTTAAGAAACCAAATTAATTTAGCTGCAAACAACTGCTTCCGCATTTACTACAGCTTCCATATCAATGTGTATAAGGGCTACTGGCTCTCCTACACAATATTCCTTTCCTTAACTCTCTTTTTTTTAACCAACTTGCATGTGAACTCCCGATCAATGTTTCAGAACAAAATGCTGAAAGCTTCCTGTTAGCATTAGCTCACCTTCCTCAGACTCAACTCCCTCTATCCCTAGCTTTCCTTGCTGCTCTACTACATCTTGTTTGACCACTGCTGAACATTTAGATACATACAGATTTAAACACTGAGTTTTCTGTTGAGAAAACATGTGATGGGGGTTAAAAATATCAGCATTTTGATAGAAACATAAATGAATTCAGGGCCACAGTAAAAAAGGAAAATCTAGTGAACAACTGCCCTGCAGAATCAAGTATCTGATTTGGCAAAAGTTGGCACACACAGAAATGACCTGGCATATCCACCCTTCTTCTATTTTTATATCCACTGCTGAGAATAAGGTGACAACAAATGGGACAGACCAAAATCTTATCAGAAAAGTTAAGTTCTAAGCATCCTTAATCAATATCAGAAAATTATACAATCAAATACTATCCTATTTCCCTCTAATCAAGGCTAGTATGAAGTGATTTCTAATAATTTAGAGCTAAGTACTCCTTCAGTGCTTTTTTTCATTAAAACCAGACTTCAATCATTTCCTTGGTGTATTTTGAGCGTCCCCCCCAGCTCATATTTTGTATGGGTTTTTTTCATATTCTAATTATATATAACTTTTTGATAAAACAAATTAAAAACTCTAGAAAATTTATCCTGTTCTTGAAACTCCAAGATCACAACATGTAGGGGTTAAATCTTCTTAAAGAAAATACATGTAAGAATACACTATTCATAATGGAAAGAGCTTTTTTGCTCCATTTATTTCTTCTACAAATCAGCATCAGTGACAAGGAGGAAAACAGAGGTGATGCTGGCCACTGTACAGTAAACACAGTAGAGTGGAGATCTCATACTCACCAAGTTGACAGGACTGCTGACATTGCTGTTCATCAACGCCACCAACCCATTCACAAGATCACTATAAAAAGGGAAGAACAGATTGAGGAAGTTTCCACTTCCCTATAAATAATATTCTTGTCTAAAAAGAGACCTGCCTCCTCAGAGCTCCAGGAAAGCAGATGCAGCTGAGGAATGCTGAAATCAGATTTACACTGTATACTTCAGTGGGTGCATGTTTTCTCAGCTGTTCCACAGTCGCTATTATAAGATATACTGAACTGGAGGGTTAGTTTGAACGGTTGATTATCGTTAAGATACACTGGCTATAGTTAATCTAAGCACATGAAAGAATATTAAAAAAATACCCCCAAGTTACTAAAAAACAATACTTCCTATTCCCTCCAGTACCCAGACATATTTAGAGGCCCATTTCCAACATATGTCAAACAGAATAGAGTAAGGGTAATACAGAGGCACATGACACAACCACCTGCTTTGTAGTTTGTGGTTTCAATTGCCTTCTCATTTTAGAAATTATTAAACCAAGTTTGTTTAAAAAACCCAGTATTTTGATGTTACCTCCCCCTAGCAAAATAACCCAAAGTTATTTTGGATTATGAGCAACACATTTATCAGGGTGCCCCTGGACATCAAATCCAGATCCCTTTCATTCTGACTTATAATCAGGACAGGAGTGGCTGCTTTGAGCTGAAGGGGTTTCCGTAGTGCCTATCACCGCTGTTATTTCTTTCAGCAGACGGAAAGAACATTTCCAAGCGGAAATGATTAAAAAAACCCAGAAGCCTGGCAAGGAAGTTCAACTAGCAAGACAGAACAAAAGATTCTGTGGAACAGATTCACTTTCTCTTAGTGAAAGTACATTCCTGCCTTGCTTACACTGCAAATATTAGCTACATCAATACCCCCTCAACTGGTTCCTTCCCCCAGAAGGGGACAGAGGCACCCACAGTACCCGCACTGAGCACAGCATCCTCAAAGACACAAGGTGGCAGTACCGCATTGCAATGTAAGGACTGACAAACTGCTCAGCATTCAACACCAACCTACCCCGTTGTTACTTGCAGTCCCTTGAAGGGAAGAACACATTAATCTCTCAATTCAAAGTTCTAAACCAACACACAAAGTTGGCTATGTTCAAAGAACCATCAAGTGAAGTAAATATCAGAAAGCACAGACAAGACTTACCTGACATACTGGAAAGCTCTTGTCTGAGTTCCAGGTCCGTAGACCTAAAGCCAGATGAAAATTAGAAAAGTTACATAAAGATAAAAGTCCTCTTTAGCCTGACTGTCTTTTCCTCACCATTCTAGAAAAATGCCCCAAGAAGAAAAAACTGAGACACAAGCTCAATGTTACAGGAATGGAAAATGCTGCACTTGCACAGCCTTTGGCAAAGTATCAGTTCTTTGAAGGTGTTTTTCCTCTTCGACGTGTCTCCAATACACGTATCCTTATGCATTTTGTTAACCAGAACTCTGCATTTAGGAAACATTCTCAGGGTTGTAGGACAGAGTGATGCTTTGTCCTCTCCTGGAACACTGAAAGAGGCTGCAGCATGCACTCAGCCAGAAAAGTGCCAAATATTTTAAAGCGAACCTCAGACTACTAAGATGTGGTTACGACGAACAATTTTTATTTGCTCATTAACAACAGCCAGCTTCAAAGAGACCAGCAAATGTTAGTGGTCTCTAAAAAATTGTTAAGAAAAATAGCACTGTTAAACATTTAAAGCAATCAGGACCAAAAAAAAAAAAAAGGTCACATGGCTCTAAGTATTACTGTCTGGGGAAATGAGAGGTAGAATAATTTCTAGAGGATATGACTCTCAAAGTAACCTACAGAGATTTGTATCAAATTCTTAGAGGGGAAAAAACAAAAAGTTTTCTCAGGTTATGTGCTGGCACTTTGGAGCAAGTAAGTTGTTTAAGTTCAGGGAGACATTAAAGCATAAAGTACATAATGGTAGCAGGTAACATTTTTTTAACAGTTTAATTGTGTGCAGTACTAAAGTCCCTAGAATTTGAACACTTAAATTCTGAAAGCTATCAGTAGGCATATTTATGTGGTGAAAACATTTAAGTTTAACTAGGGATGCACACATCTTACCATCAACCTGCAACAATAGAAAAGCTTTTGGAAGGACAGGATAGAAAGCATGGCTGTTTTCCTAGAGGACAGGAAAGAACACAACTAGGATACATGCAATCATTGTCATTTGGTAAGCTTGCTGCTCTCTGAGGCAGATTCAGTCAAAAGAGTTCACATTTCAGTAGGCACTGGGTAAGATCAGGGGTTTAAGAGTTTACCCAGTAACTAATTCCGAGAGGAATGCACCAGGAGAGCACACTGATGATGGACTTCCAAAGCAAACACAAAGCAGATTTTATGTGTGTATCTAGAGCTTTCTGCTTGTTTTAGTTTCGTTTGTGGACTAAGTGTGAGAGAACATACAAAAGTAACCTGTGCACGATTTCTGCAGAGTCATCCATGTGGCGACCCTTCCTATGTGCAGACGGTGGCTGGAAAATACAACGTAGTTTCCTCCTCCCAATTTCTCTCAATACCTCCCAGTTTCTGTTAACAAACCCTTCCTTTACAATAATACACAGAAACAATGGTCATGTTTGCACAGGCTATAATTTCTTCAGATTAAAGAGACTGTTTTATCAAGAGATTATTTACTCCATTTGGACAACTACTTTGAACAAAGAGATTGAATACATTCAATTTCTAAAAAAGTCAACACTTGGTATTCCTGTCAGAAAAATTTTGTGATGACACAAGGGTGAAATTTTTTTGGTCTCAACTACTGCTAATTGCTGATAATTCATTTTATTTGACCTGGTCAGCTAAATAACTCTCACCTTAGTTCTTTTCTGATATTCAGTAATTTTCAGTGTCAGACAGTTAGCCCCTGCAGAACAGTGATGCTGGGCAAAATGTTCAGTTTTAATCATATTCTTGATAAATTCTAGACAGCATGGCAGTTACAAAAACAATAAAAAAAATCTTCCAGTATTCCCTCCCACAGAACAGCACAAACTCCAGACTTATCTTATTGATGCTCTGAAATATCCTATGGATTGTGTGTGTTTTAAAACAAAATAACTGCTTCATATCTACTAAGGCTTCACAAAACTTCCAGTTAATGTTCTTCAATAAAACTTGAGAAACTAAGCACGAAAAAACATTTGAGAGGCCAAATATGGCAATAGCTCACTACATGCACTGGGGAACAAACTTTAAAAATGGACCCTGTGTAGGCTAGATAAGCTTTCTAAGCAGCATTCAGAGGCTCAGTCTTTATGCCCCAGGATGCCATCCTGGGAACATACAATACTGACAAACCAGTATATGGTTACACTCATATTTTGATACAAGGAAGTCCTACAAGGATTAGAAGTGTCAAAGCAAGAAGAAGCTCCATCTTCTTGTCTGCTTCCTTCTGTTTAGTGTCTTGCAACAAAAAGAACCAGCCTCAACCTGCAGCTTTGGAGAGACACCTGGGTAAGAAAATGAAACTTCTCCAGGAATTTGAGTGCTTTTTTTAATGTTTTGAAAGGACTAAATTTATTGATTCCATGTGGTAGTGCAGTCAGTCTGCTCAGTGCTGAAGAGACTCCTATCAGTAGATACTAGGCTCACTGGTTTTGTCAGCTGCCCGTGACTAAGCCCTGACATCTGCAGTCTTAAAGCTGATTTATATGACACATTAAATGTCATATGTCCTATTAAACACTGGCCATTAAGTCCCAGTCAGCATCACACAATTGCTACTATACTCTGAGCACTGACAGTGCTTTGTAGAAAAAAAGTAAATCTCTGAAGAAAAAGCAAATCTTTAGCAGATGCAGTGAACACAGCATTCAAATTCCTATAGGCTTCTTACTGAGAAATAACCACAAGCCTAAATCAGAAATTTAGCAACGGTTAGGAACAAGAACAGTAGCCAAGATGCATCACTGATGACATTAAAAAATAATAACAAATTGCCTACATTAACAATCACTGATAAAACAGCAAGCAAGTAAGCAAAAGCTGACCTCCAGAAAAGACTAATCTTTCAAAAATTATCAGTGTACTTATGGTGCTGTGCATTGCTTCGCAGAATATACACAATTTGAGCTTTTTAAATTTTATTTTTTATAGAGAGTTCTAGATTTCACCCTGTCAGTAGGATATGGTTTACTACCCAAGTTTTGCAGGGGGTAGCCATATTTTGGCATATTATTTGAAAAAGATTAAAGTTAGGGCAGATTTATCACAAGACAATAACCTTCATCTTGTCTGGGCATGACTTATTTCCTGGTCTAGACTCTTCAGTGCCCTGTCCAGTTTCAGATTTTGCTCTAAAAGAATAGTGGGAGCTACAACAAAACTTTAATCCTTTTTCTACTTGGATTCTCTGCTCCTTCCTAGAGGAAATCCTGGCTGAACTGTAGATTTTACAGTCTCCAATAGAAAGAATGCAACCTCAATCTCAAGACAGCTGCCCTATGGAGGTACTCAGCAACATTTTCAGTTGTTTAGTAGAAACAGCTGAGTAATTTCTGGGCACTTCACTCTTCTAATCTAGGCAATATTAACAAATACTTATATGAAATTTCTGTTGCATGTGACATAAACTGTAAATGTTTCCATGAGCTCACAACTGATCTCAGATTCAAGCTACTTCTCCCCATTTCAGGATGTCTCCTCCTTTATTTTACATATCCTCTTATTTTATAACAGTAAACTAAGCAGGATCACAGCATAGGTCAGGCACTGTCTGCATTGCTAAATTACCAGCAGCATCTTTGGCAGAGTATTGGCCCGTGTCAGCTCTTGCTCTCCCAGACAATGTTGTGACACTGCTTAAGCATTATCAAGGGCCAAGGGCCATTCACACCAAACAGTTTGTATGTGGCAACTTGTTTTGGCAGGAAAATTTAGCTGTGTAGATGTGGGCCATGCCACACCAGTTTGCCAACGGCAACAAAAAACAGTCCTGGCCACCTTTATTTATTAATATGTGATGTAGCCTGAAGGCCTTTAATATAACGTTGTATGGAGAAAATTTAGGCTGACCTCCAAGCTTGCAAAAAGACACTGAGATGCCTAACTTCCAAAAAGGGTTTAGAGAAAGTTCCTCAACAGGAGTAAGTACTATAATATGATTCTGTAAGCTTATCATGCTGTGTCCTCATAGAAGAGTGACAGACAGAGATTAAATTAAAGTTCAGGGTGACTAAAACACTTTCTCAGATCACAACTGGTAGCCTTGTTTCTCTATGGGAAAGGAACACCAAAACCATCAACAGAGCACATCTTTAGACATATAATTCTATACATTTGAGCATGATGTACTGAAAGATTAGATTTTTAGAGGAGGGGGAGAAACCTCATTGTTTTCTAAAATCCACTCTCTTTCACGGCACATGTGGATAGGATATAAAGACAACTAGTTCTTCATGTCACTGAGAGGTCATTACTTACTGTTAGTGGTTCTCCCTGGAGAGCTTGAAGGATAAAATTACTGACAACTCTACCATCATTCATATGCATTCGAGGACCAAAGGTATTAAATATTCTGGCAACCCTCACTTCAACTCCTTCCTGTAGGCAAAGAAAAAATAATTGTTACTACCTTAATAAGAATGTCTTTCTTCCTAAAAGTGCAAATTAACTCTCTCCTGTCCAAAAGCTTTCTTAAGAATCCCTCTTACAGCTTTAACAAGCATTGTTTTCTCACCACGAAATACCTAACCTCTCCTCAACACTTCTGGAAACTAGTGCGTACAGCAAGGTAATTTATAGTAGTTGTTAGTATTTGTAATGCAAATTCTACGTCAGTCCTAGAACAGCTGATGTTTTCAACATATGCATTTTCTTCTAACAAGAACTTATTTTTCTAATAGCCTGGAGAAGGCCAAACAACATCCAGTTCTGTTTAACTGCAGATAAGGTTTCAGCTGCCATGATCAAACATTGTTTTTATTTGCAACCAGGGAAGTAACTATTGTGCCATAGGAAAACCTACAGTCTTGGGTCTTTGTCAGACAACAAGCTTGCATCCACAATACAGACAAAAAAAAAACAATCTCACAACATCCACTTGGCCCTGCTGAGAGACTCTGGAAAGAGCAGAAGTCCCTTCCCATGCAAAATGTATCATCTAGGAACATATTCTTTATTTCCTGTTAGCTAAAAAAGCATGGCAGTGTAGCATGCCAAAAATATACTTCCAGCAGCATGCTACAGAGCCATTCCCAATGCCTTCACTGTATCTGGAAACACACACTCTGATAGAGTTTCTCGTTCTTTCATTTTGCCCAGCACTCTATCTTAAAAAGGACACCGACTCCTTCAGGGAGGGATTGCATTTCATGTGGGCTTTCCAGCTATTGCCATTAATAACAAGTACAGAAAATGAAGCACTTGGAAGCCTCATTTTCTAGTACTCAAGATAAAAATATCTCATTAAACAATGCTGACTAAAAAGCCTCTCTTGTACTGCACAAGCAGCCTTGTTTTCCAGTATTGGCTGGAAACTAGCAAGGGATCTAGAAAAGAAAAACATCACATTCTCTACAGGCACTTACTGGTAGCCACAGTGAATCTACTATTTTTTCTCCTTTCTATTTATTCCCCTCTCTTCACTGTAATATTGTCTTTCAAAATGGGTAACTTTTTTCTATAGTGTCATATAGCAAAGCTTTTCTCTGCAACTTACTGCTTTGAAAAATCTATTTCCTAGGCAGTTGAATTTTCATTTGTCCTTCTAAAACTGGGATCTATCTTCTCAAAAGAAACTTTTCTACAAAGAGATTTTTGGAGCCAGTAACTTAAAAATTGTCCTAAGTTTCCTTTCACCATTTCATTAACATCTCCCTTGAAGTGATCCTTTTTTGCACGTTGAGTAACTCTCTACTCCTTTTTGTATTAACTGCTTACAAATACTTGTGGTACACTCTTACCTACATCCTGTTACTCTGAATCTCAACAACATGTTAATTATGACTGACTACCTCCACCACATTCCCACCAGCAAAACCAATTACTTCCCCAGATTTGTAGCAGTAAGTCATGTACAGTATTTTATTATAGCCTAGAGAAAGAAGAAAAACTTCTTTGGCCCACATTTATGCTGCTAAGAAAAAAAAAAAAAAAAAAAAAAATAAAAAAGGAGAGCTTGAGACTAATCCCTGATGCTGAGATCAAATGTGATTAACTGGCTTCTCTCCTCACAGTTTAAGACTATGCCTTCCTATAGCAGATTAATCAGAAGGAAAGTTTCTTGAGCAATCCAAAAAAAAGCCTGGGAGGAAGTTAATAAAATGCAGCATTGTGGGCTAACAAAACACTTCAGCTCACGCTATTATTTACCGGTATGGACACGTTCACAGTGACTGTGCCTGTTCAGATGGAGAGAGAAGACAGAAAAGATGCAAGAAAGATTGTTATGGCTTACAGACATACCTCCTCTGAATACGTACTCAGACTACTACATAGCTGTCAGTCAAAAAGTAGCTTTAGTTACCCAGTCTCCCCTGCAAACCAAACTTGGCCACGGTCTTCAGCATGAGTCTTTGCCAGTTAATTCTAGAGATCCCTGCCCCAGAAAGTGTCAAGCTATCAAGGATGCTATGATAACATCTTAATTTAAAAAGATTTTTTAGTTTTTTAAGCTTTTTAAGAAAAGATACCTCCTTGTGTTGACTGTCTCAGAAAATAGATCAATACAGAATAACACTTGAATGTCAAGAGGTTCTTTTAACTGAAACAGCTTGAACATATGCTGCCGCTGTAATTCAGAAGGATATCGGGCAAGTCTGTCTTACTAATTAACAGCCCTTCCTCCTTTGTAAAGTCTGTGGATCTATTTGAACATCAAGCATGAATGAGACCTTCCTGCATACAAAGTCAAGAAAGGGAAAGTTGCAATTGTCTGCTCTTCAGCAGACAACTGGATTCATCAACAAAACAAAAAATTTGCTAGTAAAAGCCCAGAGAGTTGCATGGATATCACCATGACCGGATACAAGTCTTTATCAATGTTTCAGCTAAAATTACTAAAATTGTTGCCTGCATCCCTTGCTTTATTAGTCACTTTCTTACCAATTCATATGCCTCTCCATGTGTTTCAGAGATCATTAACTAGCTCTCAAAATTCTTCCCAAAACCCTGAATTGTAATCCCAGCAGAATTACGAGCATGGTGTTTACCAGGATCCACGATGTGTTTAAGCTACAATACCGAGGCTTGGTCCAAGGTATTTTATATGTATGTACTGCATATTGTATATGGAAAATGAGATTAATTTCCAGTTACTAACAGTGTTTCAAAACCGTTTGGCAAAAATAGTAATGCTGAGATCTGAATTTCATAAAGAGTAAAGCTCCTAAACAAGCTGGGAAGGACAACCACAATCACTTGACTCTACTTTTGGTATAATGCAGGTCCCTGAACACAACCAAGGCACATCACCAGTACTCTTATCTTACGGCTGAAATATTACCATGTTTATAGTTCAACACTTCCCAGACTACAGAAGATAGGACATCTCTTCGAGGTCTCTTCATAGCATTATTTATACCTCTCTGCTAAAAGCATGTCCTATTTCTAGCACTTGCCTCAGCTTGCATACCTTTTGCATGTACTGTATGTGGCCAATGCAAACAGCCACAGGCCTGTTCCACCAAGACTGGGAGGAGACACTGCCATTGGGAGGGGATGTGTATCCACTTCAGTGCATCTACGCCTGAATTACTAGGACTTCAGTATTTTACTCCACAACATGGCTTCTGAACATAAGGTGGCAGGCAACATAACCAGTGCAATAATACCCAGTGAATGAGAGCTGTATCACAGCTTCCTGTAAGTTTCCAGTAAGGGTCATGAATATATGCAAACAAACAAAAATATATACTCCAAATAATTTCATTTTAGTCATCTGCATAATGGAGAGTTCTGCAGAGTTATACTCATGAATTAGTGTAACAAGGATTGTTACAGGTGAAAGAAAAAAACCTTATCTATCAATGCTTTTAGAGCAATGGTGGCTGTATGAGGAGGATGCATCTTACAGCCAAAAATCAGAGGTGTATCAAATTAAAAACAACACCACATACTTTGCATCAAAAGATGAATGCTGCTATGGATATATTCTTATTCAAACACTGACTGAAGTATATGCCACTTACTGCATTTGTACAGGACCAAACACAATGTTTTGGTTCATGTGCAGAGCTCCTACACAGCAAAAAAAAAAAGCTTACAGACAGCTCTAAGAACTCATTAGAAAATGTGCAGATACATTAACCCAATAGCACGGAGAATACTTACCAGCAGGTTTTAGAAAATGGCAGGACTATCAGGACTGTATGAGGTTTAACTGGAACAAACCAGTTTCAAAAGCTCAGCATTATTCAATCTCTAAATTATTAAAGTTTGCAGGACTTAACTTTATTGAAATATGGGGAAAGATTTTTATCTGTGGTTTCTCTTTTCTGAAGTATAAAAGCCTATTTGTGAACCATGCAGTTACAGTGGTTGAAAGCAGCACCGTTTCCTCTTTTGAAGTGGAGTCAGTTAATCAAGAAGATAAAAGCAACTAACAACAAACAGTACTTGAAATTCTCAATGGAACTGCCACATTTATTGAGAGTATTAATATAGTTGTGAGTGTGTGGTATCTCAGATTTTGCAGAAGAAATGAATTGCAGAGGATTTTTTTTCTTTTCCTTCTGAACGTCACTGACTTGGTATATAGTAACTCAGATGGGACACGAGCTGCAGTGCTCACACCTTGCGCTTCAGGGTTGTCAATGCCCTCTCAGTCGGCAGTGAGAGGGGCTGTAGCATCTCAACTCTACCTTACAGGCAGTGCCCAAGGTGGCTGACCTCCTGCAGCATCTCACAGACTCCCCTCTCCAAACTTCACCTCACTAATACTCCTGGATTAAAAATCCTCTGCATGGCTTCTAAAAAGCTAAAGGGATCCACAATAGCTCTTACCACTGCAATTTAGCTCTGGCCTGGTACACATCCAACAGTAACCACCACCTGTGTCATTAAAGGATTGTTGTTTGGGCTTTTGACTACTGCCCTGAGGAGATGCAAAGCTTCCTCTTTCCCCCTGTGCGTCAGGAACCCGTCAGGAACCACAAACAATTAAATTCCTTTCTTCCACAGAAAGCATCAACTCTGCATCTTTTCTTAAGCAAACTGCTAGCAAACTTCATGTGACAACACAAAAAAAATAATTACAGAATACAGGATAAACTCCCAAAAGACATTAAAGCAAACTGCTTTAATTCAACATAGCTATTTGTTTCTACCTAATTACTCAATAACTAGCCAGTTATTCATTATTCAATGCCTTTTCAGTTGCAATTCAATCAACAGTTTTCATTACCCCTATATTTTACATCAAGGCTTTTTATGATTACTGAAGCCAGCTCAATTTGTGAATGAAAGATTAGGGAGAAAGTACAACTCAATATAAAATAGAAAATCAGCCTCGTGTTGCAATTGCAATGCATTTCTATATTTAATAAATTTCAACATCAGTTTGTCTTATTCTCTTGCATTAATATAATAAACTTAACCTCTAACAAGTCTTTCCTTTCTTCTGTTACCTATTAAGATTTTTTGGCACCTTGAGTCTTCACAGTCCTGGTTATAGAATATTCTATAACGCAGATCATAACACTTGTCCACTTAAAGAAAGTTATACTTAATATTGGATTATGATAACTCAATTCACTCTTATATGCTTACAAAGGCATGCAGTGGAATTCTTAATTGGAAATCTAAGCTATTCTAAGGCAATTTGAAAACTATCACATCACATCATGTACCACTGAGCCCATTTGCTATCACTAAAGCTTGCAGAGTCACACAGTTCGTACAAAATAAGGACAAAGGAAGTGGAAGGAGATGAAAATTTTCCATGCAACATTCCATGGTGACCTGAAGTGTTGCTTCAGCTCTGGAGAATTTCCTTACAGATCAATGGTATAAGAGAAGGAAATAAATCTAGTTCACAGAACATTACACATCTAAAATGCTGTGTATTTGTATTTATGACATGGCTATGCAAACATAGCAGATTCCTGCCATGAAGGTAGTGTCAGATTCTGACTAGTATTTAAATTAAGCCAGAGTTGGAGTGTACATGAATATCTGGATTTCTGGGTAGCTCCAGGATTCCAACTGCAATTTTTTAAAAAGTTAAATGCATAGTGAATAGCAACTCCTGAACAAAGCACAAAATTCACGTTGCAGTACTATGTGCTGAAACTCCCCTCCCACCTCTTTATCCCCCCCACATCTGTATGTTTTCTCCACCGGTTTATGTCCACAAAGACCTTATCTGTGTTTAGAAAATGCTATTCATTTTGGAAAATGGTGGCATAACCTTATCTAGTAAAAAAGAAGCTTTGTGGAGGAGAAAAATTACTAGCTGTGCAATTGTATCACATCTATAGCAAGTCATACACCTGTATATGAAGTTTATGCAAAGAAGCACTTTGGAAGGACAGGGAAGAACAGGCAGAATAGTAACAAATTTAAGAGTACAGAACGGAGAAAGCAAACAGATCGACAAAGTGTTGATTATAAGAGAGTTTCAAAACTATGCCTTGCACCTTGTTAAGGCAATTGAGTGAACTGAAAAGGTTTTCCAGGAGGGAGTGCTAGCAAGCACTGAAAAAGAGATGAAGGGAAGGGAATTCTGAAGAATCACAGAATCAGGGATGCAACTCAGCTCTCCAATGAACAGGGCAAGGAATTAAAGCTTCCTGTGGCTTGAGAAAAGTTCCAGAAAGAGGTACTTCCACTCACACTAAGGACCATGGCTGACCTAAGCTCCCACATGAATTTATGGAGGTAAAGCTGGTCCCAGAAGCCTACAGCAAATATCCTCTCAAACCACACACTCAATTGCCTCACATCGGATGAGATGAACTTGTGTACACGCTTTGAATTTGTCAGGCCTGCATTTCTCCAGCAAATATTGAACTCCCCACCTCTCCTTTAAAGCAGATACTTATATAGTACTGAATGCTACTACTGCCCTTGGACTCTTTGACAAGGAAGTACTGCTGGGCTTGTTAAAAGACAGCAGCTGTAAAGAGGAGATAAAGTAAAGAAATGCTTAATTCCAACAGTCAAAATAAGTGAACAAAACAACAACTGCCAGCAGAAAAGTGTACCAAAAAGGTCTTGGTTGGGACAGGCTACTGAGGAACTCTGACAACTGTGAATAGAGTCATCTTTGATTTGATTAAAGAACAGTTCTGATTCAAACAGCCTGTTGGGAAGTATAATGTAGAAGGTGGGGTTTTGGGGAGTTTTTTTTGAAATATGATTAGGTATTTAAGGTACCTAACAATGTGCATGATGATGGAAATCTTTGGAAGAAATGACAAAAAATGCATAAATAAGTTTGCTTGTTTCTTCTATTATTGAAGCTGAGCAGATTCTAGAAACATTTTAGCCTGAGATTGTGTAAATCCAATTGTTTTGGGCTAGGCCACTCCTGTCTGAAACTTCTCTTAAAAGCACAAAACTTACTTTCATAGCAGAAGTCAGACCTTTCCACTAGCAGAAGATAACGTTTCCTCCACTAATTACAGTGTATCATCTAAACTCTGAAAAAACCCCAGCTCAACAGTGTTTCAGAATACACCTGAATGTGGGACAAGCTTGGGCAGACTTCACTACCTCAAGAACAAGAAATATCTCACAGAGCTGCCCCTAGGACAGAAAACATACTTGCATAATGAGTTTTCAGAATGTATGCGTGCACTGCAGTTCCACCTTACAAATCTTTACTATCCTTTGTAAATCCTGCATAAAATGTATGGGATAGTGTCATGACTCATCCTGTGGCTTTAAGATACAGTCCATGATTTTCAAAACGACCTACAGTCTTGCCCTTCTAAAAGAATACTGCAGTGTGTACCATACTCTTGTAAAAAATTCAATACCCTACAGCACAAGAATTTCTCGTAAAAACTACACTATTCAACTGCAGATGGATTTCTGGGCCCACAAGGAGTATTTTCCTACAGCGAAGTATAGAAGACACGATCCCGAACAAGAGCAGTACCGTCATATTGTACCTTAAATGATTTAAAAGAGAACAAAGGAGACAAGAACCTCTGTCTTCTCTGTCTGGCTGAAGAGGTAAGAGAAAATTGCTATAACCTCCGTACTAAAATACCATCCCTAAAGTCTTATTACTTATGTTTAATTCTGTTTTCAAGGTTTTTTAAAGTCCTTAGTATTTCATCATTTGAAGGTTTAAAATTCTACAGAAAATACTACATTTGATTGATTTATAACTCTGTATATTAAGGCTGCGAACACCAAGAAACACTGATATGATTTTCTTCAGTGTGCCACATTTTCTAGTCAAATAGTCTCTCAGAGACTAACTGAACAACAATTAAATAAGATACAATTCACATACAGATAGAGTCGATGGTGGGCTAGTTAACAATGAGTTTCTACTTGTTGATTGTAAAACCCACAGAAACTGGCATGTAGCATTTCACAAACATATTTTAAATTGCATTTTTATCCTCATGTTACTGTATTTGTCTAAAGAAGTGCATTACATAGCTGAGTATTCATAACTTTCATTAAGGGCTGTATTTATACATACATAATTTTAAGACATTTCTAAAGCGATTTATAATACAATGCTCCTATATGGGTACTCATTAAAGAACTTCCTAATTTTTACCTGTATATTCTGATTTCAATTATGCTCATTAAACATTCCACATTTAACAGTAATGGCCCTATTTAGCAAAGCGCTTCCCAGCACAGGACCAACTTAAACCAAATCTGTTATCTGGCCCCCAAATTAGTAAAGTCACCTCAGTTTAGCCTGCTAAAAACTATTTATAACAATGAAAGACATAATATGTCTATCAAGAAGACTAAAGCACATTTTCTTGAAGAACATTGCTCATCTGAAAGAAACAAAACAGATGGGAGCAACAAACTTTTGCATTAAAGAAAACAGATTTTGCATTTATAGTGTGAATGCTCCTACTAAAGACATTCTCTTTTGCCCCCCTACCCCTAAAGACACATATTCCAGTTTGTCACACATTTGGCCTTCATAATAACATAAAATCCATCAAATCTGAAACATAAAATCCATTAAATCTGATACAAGTTTAATACCTGCTTCATGTATGCATAGCACATGGTCTCTGCAACCCGCTTTCCTTCATCATAGCAGGCTCTCGGACCTATTGGATTCACATGGCCCCAGTAATCCTCATTTTGAGGATGAACTTCAGGATCTACAGGGAATAAAAAACCAAACACCTTAAATGATCTATCAAAAAGGTGACTATATATAATGAATCTTTCAGCTGATCACTTGCATTATACAGTTTAACAGCTTCTCTCTCAAAAGATATGAGGTTTCGACACCATTCCTTTAAAGTGTGTTCACTGGAACCATGAAAATAACAGTTGTGGAAGATGTGAGACTCTAGTAAGATAACTGAGTACAAGCAAACAACAGCTATCATCTCTGCTTTCCTCTAAAAGAGTGTGCAATCAGAGGGTTAAATTCAACTCTTCTCTGCAAAGACAGACTACCTCAAGGGAACAAGTAAGACTCTAATGTAATTCAGAGGAAATATTATAGGTTTATGTAGGCAGCATTTTTTACTGTATTTGGAAGAAAAGTAAAGCACCTTCAAGTTTATAAAATAAGAAACGGGAAAGAAAAATGGACAAAATCTAGAAGGACTGCATTTCTTAAAGATGAAAGAGTAGAGCAAGCTACCCCAATGTACTTGCTATGTTTCTCCTGGTTTATCCTAAGCATTATTACTAGCTGTCACTGGTCACAAACAACCAGTTTAGACAATCCTTTTATTTAATCCAGTACACAAGCTCTCAATTACAAAATAAACAAATCAACTAAAAATCTCCTAGGAAGCTCTGTGTTCCCTCTATATGCTTGAAACAATACAATCACTGTCACATTTCCCCACTTTGCCACCTGTGCTGCCTTATCCTCCTTACTGGGTTTGAAGTTTGCAGACATTACTACTAAAATTTCAAGTCAGTTTAATTTTTGAAACAATACTGATGGTCAGTTCTGATTAACCCTCCCAGTTTTTATGCTGCTCATTGACATAACAGATTAATTCTTGCCATATGAGAGCCACAGAGCAATGACAAAAGCAGAGAGGTTTTACATGATTACAAAAGCCTACTGCATTCTTAAAAGGGCCCCAGAAGGTGCTGTGATCTGGAAAGCCACTTCAGTTTCTATCTCCTTTCTGGCAGAGGAAGCCTTATGAAGCACTTGGAAGCTCTCTATACAACACTGCTTTGAGAACTCCTGTGGAAACAGCTAACAGATATTTTCTGACTTTATCTTCTCTCCTTTATTTTTCAGCAAAATGACTTTGTCTGCTCAGTCAGAGTATAATAATTGAGTTGACTCTCTCCACTGGCTTTACTGACACAACAAAGCTTTGATAATGGCAGTTTCAAGTTTTCCACTTCAGCAGGCAGATTGTAGCAGAGCAATGAGGCTCCAAAACCCGGGTGGTTTTTTTGCCTGTTGGTCCCCTGTTCCAGAAGGGAGTTTGTTCAATAACAGAAGAGTCCTCGGGGCTAAGATTTTTCTCTGTGGAGCCTGACCATAGATAATCAAAGGCAAGTGAGGCAGCAGGAAGGCTGCACATACTCAAGCCACTTATTTGGTTGCCTGGTCATCTTAGCAGATCTCTTGCTTGGGTATTTGCTTTGAACCTTCTTGACTGAAGTTATTCCATCAAAAGCGTACTCCTTGAGGTATATTTTTTGTCCTGCCTCACTTTCTCCTCATAAAGCTTTGCATCTTGTTAGAGAGATGAGTATTTTTTGTTTGCTTGTTTGTTTTTCAAAGCCTAGACTCACAACTACTAATGTTGAGCAGATGACTTGAGCCTGCTTATCTCCATTAATCTTGCAACACTGCTATAATCAATTAGGTAAGAGTTCACAACAGCAGGAAGTTGAGTCTCTAGTAGGCACAGGAAAGTTACAAAGTCTAAGCCTCCTTCCACCACTCTGACTAGAGATTTAAAGCAAGTTCTAATACTGACATTTTAAGCTGTAAGAAGTACATCTGATAAAGAAATCAAGCTAAGACAGTGATTAAAATCTACCAATCATCTGACAAAAGGTTTGTAAATACCCTTTTACACAGTCATATCTCAAGAGCTCTAAACACTGTTTTATCCTCCTTACCTCCATATACCTCTGACGTAGAGGCCAGCAGCAGCCGTGCTCCAACACGTTTGGCCAACCCTAAATTTTGAGCAGGGAAAGAAGAACATAACTAGGTCAAGCTCAAGAATCTTTCAGTTACATTAACTGCTTTAGTGTGATTCCATTTTACATGTCTTTAAAGATAATGTGATTTCTGTCACTAGATAAATCTAGCTGTAAATCACATCCTTAGCTTCCTCTCCCAAGCCAGAAGACTTGAAACACAGCAGAGCAGCACCCACATGTGTGATGTGTTTGCTCCTGGGACTAAAAATTACACTGAACTAAGATCCAAGAACTTAATACTAAATAAGGGCCAAGTAAGCATAAACCATTCCAGTTATGAAATCAGGACCTTGAAACAGCACACCATATTATGATTACCAAAACTTAGAGATAAACTACATAAATACTATGACACAGAGTAACATGTTATAGGATAAAATCAATCATTTTCCCTTTATTATGTCTCTTTAAACAGCCTGGATGATCCTACCCATCACTTGAGATTATTCTGCATTCCATTTCAATAACTTTCTGGCCTTCAAGTTGGCATGGCAAATCAAAGAAATCACTCATCTAAGCCATACAACTCTCTGGTACCTCAACAGCTTCTAAATAATTTAATTCTCTGTATTGTGCCCACTAGTGTATCACTCAAATGAGAAACTCAGCTGAACTAATGCCCAGCAGATTTTTGCCTCCTAATAACTCTTAGGATCACTGACACTCCAGTCAAGCTGCAGCATACGCCAAATGGATCAAAGATGGGAGGAAAAGGTAGTGAAGGATTGAGGCCTTTTCCTAGGCCCATTCCCAGCACCAAAACCAATAGACAAAGCTGAAAATGTTGCCTTGCAATTAGCTAGCTTGAAGTCAGACATTAATCATTCCTGCAGAATTTGCTAGCCAGGGCATGCACAAGACGGTGCAGTGCTCTTGATCTTCAGGGTTTACGGAACCAGTGCAGTCCCAACTAGTTCAGTGTTTGCTGTTGTGGAAAGGAACAGTCACTCATGGCAAACATGGGAATGTTCCACAGTTTCCAAGGTGAGAAGTGCAGTCACAGACACAACTTTGCTATAAAATTCCCATACTCTTAGTTCTTCCTATGACTTCAGTAATTATTGCACAGTTACTACTCCATAGCCAAGTTACAGGCATGAAGTTGTTCTGCTCTGATAGCTGAGCTTGTGTGTTGTCAGAGCTCATTTGCAGATACATTTAAAGGAAAAGTACAAAAAAATCTCTTCAAAGAGGGGAAAAAAACCCCCTCATTTTTCTTGAAGAATCGACTTTTTAAAATATTCAGCTCCTCTGCTCCATCCTCCTCTCTCTCCAGTAATTCTGTCCAGGTTACAGTATTTCTAATAAAGTTAAGTAAGAAAAAAGATTTCCACTTACCCAGCATGTTTAACGTTCCAATAGTGTTGGTCTTTAATGTTTTTATAGGATTATACATGTAATTTGGAGGAGAAGCAGGAGATGCTAGATGATAGATCTGGTCCACTAGAGAAAACCAGAGGGGGAAGGGGGGAAAGTATTATTATTATTTTCTCAGGTAACATATTAAATGAGAAAACATTATGGTCAAGAAACTTCTTTCTGCATTTCCTAACATTGGAACTCAGCACTTCCTATATTGCCACCTATAGATAATATATATGTATGCAAACCTTTTGTAACCCAAAGCAAGACTTACTTTTTAATAAAACAAAAAATAAAGCACGGTATATATCAAAAATACTGACACAGATACAGAAATCTGTCTGGGTGTTGACGTTTTTCACTTATATAAATTTTAGTTACAAGTACTTCAGAGATGTTTAGAGGCTGCAAAAGTATATGCAACACTATTATCCTCAAGTTTTTAAGTGACTAACAGTTTCAGAATATTTTTTTTCAATGGAATCACAAGCAAAGATGGCAGAAACACTTTTTAATACCAGGAGGAACCTTTTGGGAAAAATAAATATTGTATTTATATTTGTAAGCCACTCATTAATGAAATATTAATGGAATTAGTAGCATATTTATATTTTAAACATATAAGCCAAGATATGGGCAAGCAACTTTTGTCCTTTGTCCTCAATCTGTTGCCTTTGCTCCACTGGTGCTCTATGCTATGCTTTGGATAATACAGCATTTTAGCTTTGTAAAAAAACAACCAACCAAACAAAACCTCCCCAAGACAGAGATTCCAACCTCCCCAGTGATGAAATACAATTAACCAACACACTAGACCATACACTATGATCAATGAACGCATACTGATGCCTAACCTAATTTAAAATAAGGTAGCTTGGGTACTAGTAACAGATTGCCCGGGTAGTACCAGTCCCGATCTTAACTAATTAAGTTGGCTGCATTTTTGTGATTGCAGTGTAAACAAATCTAGATTCAAATCACCCATAGGAATTACATATTCCACAGAAAACCAATATAGAGCCTAGTACAAAAAGCCTAAACAGATACATCACTGTCATGAGTACAGACTAGGGCCTGTACGAACCTCATAAACTCAACAAGGCCAAGTGCAAGGTCCTGCACCTGGATCAGGGCAGTCCCAAATATGGATGCAGGCTAGATGATGAATGGATTGAGAGCAACCCTGAGGAGAAGGACTTGGGGGTACTATGGATGAAAAACTGAAGCCAGCAATGTATGCTCACAGCCCAGAAAGCCAACCATATACTGGGCTGCATCAGAAGAAGGTGATTCTGCCCCTCTACTCTGTTCTGGTGAGACCCCACCTGGAGTACTGTGTCGAGTTCTGGGGACCCCAGTACAAGACAGACATGGACCTGCTGAAGCAGGTCCAGAGGAGGGCCACAAAAATGGTCAGGGACCTGGAACACTTCCCGTATGAGGACAGGCTGAGAGAGTTTAGCTGGAGAAGAGAAGGCTACAGGAAGATCTTACAGCAGCCTTCCAGTACTTAAAGGGAGCCTGCAGGAAAGATAAGTAAGGACTTTATCAGGAAGTGTAGCAATAGGACAAGGGGTAACAGTTTTAATCTGAAAGAGGGGAGGTTTAGATTAGATATTGGGAAGAAATTCTTCCCTGTGAGGGTGGTCAGACGCTGGAACAGGTTGCCCAGAGAAGTTGTGGATTCCCCCTCCCTGGAATTGTTCCAGGCCAGGTTGGATGAGGCTTTGGGCAACCTGGTCTATGTGGAAGGTGTCCCTGCTGATGGCAGGGGGGTTAGAACTAGATGATCTATTAGATTCTATGATTCTTAATTTAACAATTATTCCTAGCACAAAGGAACAGAGAGAGAAAAGACAACAGAGGCTTTAACAGATTTTAAGTTCAAAGGCCAAATGTATCATCAATCAGGACTTCCTTCTCTCTCCAACTTCTATTTCAGTTTCTTTCTATCTTAAGCTCAATTAATTGTGCTTTGCTGTCTATTCATTCAGTAGTCAGGCTTGCTTGTTTATTTCAAGCTAATTACCCATTTTCATAAAATAGTCTATTTCCAGAACAAGCATAACAGTAGTTTCTATCAAGGTAGTTCAGAAGACACAGACAAGTATCATAAATCATATTTGATACAAGGAAAACAAGCACATAGGATTTCGCTCAACTTTGGTTTCATAACAGGTCATCAGGAAATATGCTCTGTACTTCAGAATTTCAAAGAGCTCAGCTAGTCATCAGGAAATATGCTATCTCTGTACTTCAGAATTTCAAAGAGCTCAGCTCACCCCAGCAAATTTAAAGAACTGAAAAAATACTCAATAAGCTGTGCAGCACATTGGAATCAGTCTTAAATATGAAACCTAAAAGAATCCCAAGATATTAGTTGATTAACATTGGTAATCATGAAAATCTTAGGCAAATCCTAATTTGAGACCAGCTTCGGCACATCAGAGTTGCAAAATGTGTTCCATGAGATAAGAATGGAGGTACCACAGAGAAAAAATATTTTTTTGTTAAATTATAATAAAAACAAACCAATAAAAATTGGGACTGATTTTCACAAGCCACATTTGATACTCAACAAAGCTCAACCTGCAAGCCTTTCATAACACAACCATTGTAAATATAAAAATGTCTTTCTGTCTTCTGTGTAACATGAATCACAGTTAGCCAGAACTACTTAAAAAAAAAGAATGCAGATAAGTGAATGCCAAAAAAAAAAAAAAAATTAAACATAAGATCAAATGAGAGAGAGTGATGCTTAAGAAACAAAAAAACCAAATGCCCTCCCAAGGTCATCCAAGAAAAGCAGTCAAAAGGTGATGTAAGAATTAGAATGGCAGGATGTAAGAAGGGAAAGCAATTCCTTGTTTGTGTTAACAAAAGGAAAGTTTGTTTTTTTTAAGAAGACTCAGCACTGAAACCTGAAAAAGTCTGGAAAAAAAAAAGTCAAGGCTAGTTGCTATTCTGACGGAAGACAATACGGCATGGTATAAGGTTGTCTTGCCCTAGAACAGAACATTGCTGGTCAAATGCTATACTCAAACATTTTTCTTTTAACTGTTTTCTCAAGTGTTTTATAATTAACAACCAGTATCAAATGACAGCAATATAAAATAAAGCTGTATTTTGACAATGTATTGATTACTCTTAGCCCTCTGCTGGGTTTAAATTTCACAGTATCTGTGACACAGTGAATTTTTCCCTCCAGTTTTAAATTAATTCTTTTATCTAAAACAGGGTACAAGCATCCTTGACTCTAAAATTAAAAAAAAAAAAATCCAAACTTGCTTCATTTTTTCTTTTTCTTCATTTGAATATGACTATACTTGCTTAAACAGCACAAGCTGTATATGAGGTACAAGTAGTAGGGAAAAAAAAAATATGAAGTTATCGCCTACTCTCAACTAGCAGAGAACACTGAAATGTTAAAGGAATGTAAAAAAGAAGACCTTCCTTCTTCCCTGATTCCCAAATTTCATTTGACAAAGCAAGCACATAATCCTTTGCTTCCTGACCTCTCTCTGATATAAAGAAGCAGACTGGTTAGGATGACAGTGTATGGAAGTGGCTTGATTTATCCATGAGGAATGTACCTATTACTTTTCAACAATCCTTTAAGCAATAAAAAAAATTAAAAGTAGTCAAAAGCCTTCAAAACACAAGTTTCTCTTCACATTAAAACACTACATCCTTTTTAAGGTAAGTACATGTTCTGATAATAGCAGTTTAAAAATACTGGCAAAATTGTCAAGGTAAAATATTTAACCTACTTTCTTTCCAAATTCTTAGTGAAGTGTGCTTGCACCTACAGTCATGTTTTTCTAGATAAACTGTTGTTTTTAAGTCTACTGGGAAAGCTCATAGTTCCTGGGAGCGCATACTGACTCATCTGTAGAAGGCACATTAAAGTTCACCCTGCGCTGCATTTTTGCACCATTGCCCCAACACAAGAAATCCTGCAAAATAATTTGATTACATTTTATTCTGTGCATAATTTTACAAAATTAATAGTGACCAAAATAAGGAGAAATTATTTCAAGTCAAACCTCATCACACAGAACAATTAATTGCTAGCATAAACACAAGATCAGTTTCCAATGCAATCTGCATGACTCCATCACCCCCAATTTTTACTGTCTTGACAGAGTAATATTTGACAGTTAGTATGCTCAAGCAGATGCCACAAAATATATCTACTTCTTAAATGTTGCCATGCTCTCTTTGGTCTACAGCTGTTAATCTCTAGAGCAGAGATGACCCGCTGCCTACAAGATGTCAAAACAACTCAAAAAGCTAGACATGTAATTTTGGTACGTTTCACATCAGTGAGGATTTTTTCTCACACAAAAAAGTGCATAAAAATACAATTCCATGTAGTAGACCGCTCTGTTATTTGCTCTCATAACAACAGAAACTGATATTTCCATTCACTATCATCTCCAGTGAACCGTCAAGAGAGAGCTCTTCACAGAAGGCAAACTACAGTATCCCAGTGTATTCAGTATGCAAAGATGGTTGGACACAGTGAGCGCTGGAGGAAGCGAGCTTCCACCTCAGACTTAAAGCCCTGCCCACATTCCTAACACAACTGAAGCTCTTAGGATCCTGTCTGCAACTCAAAAATAGTTAATTGTTCTGTGTGATGAAGTGTGATGTGGAATAATTCTTCTTATTTTGGTCACTGTTGACATTGTAAGCTTCAGTGGAGAATAAAATTTAATCATAAACTATTCTGCAAGATGTGTTGGGGCAATAATGCAAAGATGTAGAATGGGGTAAAGTTTAATTAGTCTGCTGAACTTTGACATGACTCCTACAGATAAGCCATGAATATGAATTATATACATGACAGCCCCAAGTTATGCACCTGAATGTAAGCATCCCCTTCCCACAGCATGGTACTGTCATGAAACCAAAGAAAAGGGGTAGACTGGAAACTGATGAAAGAAATGCTCAGAGAAGGCACTGACCACTGCCTGCAGGCAGCAGGTAAATCAAGCACAGTGGCTCAGATAAATGGACAAAGTAATAGCTAAAGTCACCTGCAGCCAACACAGGGCTGACCTCTGACCT